GAGTGTGCTGCAGAAGGCAAGTGCACATTTAATTTATGCCCAGAATATGGACTAAAGAATAGAAGTGCAGTGTATCCTCATTCTTTTGGACGAATAGCAACCATATGGGACGGAATAGAGCTGTCCTGTGGGTTTCCAACGCTGTATGTTTTGACAGGAGCCAAAAGCCCCCACCTTTCTTCCACAGCATAGCTGGTGGTTAGCTGTCACTTATCTTGTGAACATGTATGGAATGGGTTGGATCTACTTGCTTATGAAAAGGATAAACTCTATTTCAGTAATAAAAATATTTCCTTTTTAATTTTTGTGACGAGTTTGTAGGGGTTGGTTGGAGATTGGGACTTTAATTATACTTCAACAATATGCTCAGTGGTGAAAATTATTAGTAACCTGATCTTCCCACTTAGGGCTGAACAGACCGGTGCTCTGGCTTCTGTTTTATAGCTCTCATACCAAAGCCAAGTGTCCTTTATGCATTCTAGTTAGTACCATATATTTTTTTTAACTTTTATGCTTTTTTACTGGTGATTTTTTGTTTCAAATGGCTCTCAAATGTAGAAGTGCTGCTTAGTTCCGAGGCTCGAGAAGACTGTGATATGTCTTGAGGAAAAAAAATGAGAGTTCATAAAATTCATTGGAACATGGGTAGCATGTATCCAGTGACGAAGTTCAGAGGGTTCGGAACGATGGAGGGATGGAAATGGGAAACAGCAGGGGAGAGGACAATTGAAGGGATTCCAGTGGGTGAGTTGGACCAGAATGTGAATGAATTGTGAGTGTCAAAAACTATGATCTGACCTGTAAGTCTTCACCCAATTCACATGCAAACAGATTATGGCATTTTCCCCATGAATATGTGTTCAAATTAACTTCTCCTGGCATTTAGTTATAGTACTGATGGCTGAGTTCGGTGTTATTGAATCAACAACATACATTACTTGTTGTTAGGTGCCATTGAGTCTCTGCGACGCTATGTGCAGCAGAACAAACCTGTCTGGACCTATGCCATTCTC